TTCTCACTCCATTTGGTGCTTGGCTGAGTTCTTTATCTCTTCATTTGATGTTTTAGGGTTTCAGGATTGTTGTATTCTCTGTTTGGCTTAGTTTTTTGGATCTTTGCTGTGGAGGGACAGCGTGGTGCTTCTGCCTAGAGCGCCATTTTGCCAGAATTCCCTGATCTGTCAGGTTTAAGTGATATCATTTCATATATTTTCTGTACAACATTCAATGATCTTATTCTACTTTCCTCTTTTCTTCCTTCTCGCCCTGCCTCTTTTTTTTACTTGCACCCTTGCTACTTTGTCAGAACATATAACATTTTCATACTGTTCTTCCCCATCCTTGTTTTAGTCCTAGTTCTATGATTAAATATATTAATTGTGCTACATCCCTCCTTTCACTGGTTTCTCCAGTTATTTCTGTTTGACAAAGCTCACCCTGTAGTAGATTCTCAGGAAGGACCTGTGTTTACAGTATTTCCTGAGTTCTTGCACATTAAAGACTGCTTTTTCATAGCCTTATGCTTCGAGAAAATCTTGGCTTGAGTTTTTAGAGTGTTGCTCTGATGAATTGTCTTGTTCTATATGATGCTCTTGAGAAGTCTGGTGCTATCCTGATTTTCTTGCCCTTACATATAATTGATATTTTAGTCTAAAGGCCCTGCAGACTTTTTGTTTTAAAAGCCTAGTAGTTTTTCAAGAATATGTCTCTGAGTTTATCAATTTGAGGTCAGTTTTCCCAGGTAGACATAAGCCTCTTCAATATGTAGATATAAGTTTTCTCCTATTTCCAGTAAGCTTTCTTAAGTTATGGAGCCCTGGTGGCAGAGTGGTTAAGAGCTACAGCTGCTAACCAAAAGGTTGGCAGTTCAAATCCACCAGATGCTCCTTGGCAACCCTATGGGACAGTTCTACTCTGTCCTATAGGGTCATTATGAGTCGGAATCAATTCAACGGCAACAGGTTTTGGGTTCTTAAGTTATAGTTTTAAAGAGTAGCTCCATTCCATTGTTTTGTTTTCCTTTTTCAGGGACTCGTATGACATGTGTTTTGGACTTTGTCTTTCTTTATTCCCATCACTGTCTCTGTGACCCTATTGTACTTTTTTTTTTTTTAGTCTCATTTTTCTTCTCTCTTGATTGTGTCCATACCTTCCTTCACTGTTGTTTACAAAATTTTCATTTAAAGCTATTGTCTCTTGGGCATCTTGTGATTTCTTCATCATTTCTGAGATAGATTTGTCTTTTTCTTCAATTTCTTTCCTGAGTTTGATCAATTCTTGTTGCATTTCTTCTTCTTGCTTTTTGTCCATAATTTTTCAATTTCTGATTTTAGATTATTTTTATAAAATATTTAATTAAATTTGGAATGCTGTGTTGCAGGGTTTTGTTTTTGTTTTTGTTTTTCCTGCTTCGATATAAGTTTTTCTGGAGAATTTTTATCACCTGAAGCATTTGGATTCCTAATTTCTGTTTTCTTCTTACAGTACTTTTGAGTGGAATTTGTTTGATTTTTTCGACTCACAGGCAACTTGTGGGCATGGCTCCTAGTTCAAGAGTGCCCTCTAGGTTTGATCTTAATGTGTCTCTTCACACATTTCTAAATCCTAAAACATAATATCTAATCTATCACATCATAAAGCTAGCATTGAACTCATTGAGGATTTTCTATGGGTATATATTTTCCTGATTTCTTTTTCTTGGAAAGTAACAAAATAAACTCTAATCAATAATAAAAATTATGTAGCTAGTAACTACGTTTTGAGTGCAATATAGGTATTCTTTGTAAAATAATTTCTAACCTATGGAAATATAAATGAAACTAAGCAAGATTATGCTTTTTTTTTTTTAACAGGATGGATCATTTCTTATTCGCAAAAGCTCTGGACATGATTCCAAACAACCATATACATTAGTTGTATTCTTTAATAAGCGAGTATATAATATTCCTGTGCGATTTATTGAAGCAACAAAACAGTATGCTTTGGGAAGAAAGAAAACTGGTGAAGAGGTCAGTAATTTCTCTTTTAGCTATACTCTGTAAATATACATTGAGCACTGTGGCATCATACCGTATGTATTAAGTGCTAGGGATAGGAAGAAAGGATACAAGAGTACTTGGTTCTAAGCTTGCATATATCTCATAAATAGAGAACAACAGATAATATTATGTTTAGGTAATTTACCCTACAGGAGAACGAAAAGAAGGAAAGACTGGCGTAATGTCAAAGTTACATGCTGGTCCCTTTCATCCAGCTACTTAATGGGGTTAGTCTGACCTAGGATTTTAGTCCAGGGGACATATAAATCAAGGTTGAACTATCAAGTAGAGTTAAGGTTACAAGAATCAAGGTCAGGAGCCAGACTCCAATGTTAATACCTAGAATCTCAGCTCTGGCACCACATTATGTGATCAGGGAAAGGTCCAGAGGATACAAAACCTGGTGAGTTGAAACATTAGATCATTGTCCTTGGACCTGAATGAGCTTAGGAGCATGCAGCAAGAAAAAAGCATGATGTGGGTCTTAAATACTATCTTGACCAAACTCAATGCTTACCCTAGCCCAGGTTAGCCAGCCTGTTACTATAGTGAAATATTGGTTGGAATAATCCATGAATGTTCCATAAAGGGAGTGATACTTGCTTTGGTCTTGAATGATGGGCTACATTTGAATAGGTAGATGGAAATATGGAGGGGAGGAGAAGAATAAGGAGAAAATAGCAAAAACAAAGTTCAAGTTAAGAAATATTTTCAAGATTTCCCCAGGAAAGCTATACCCAGTCCAAGCCTAGCACTTGTGAGAAAGTTAGTCATTAGAAAGTGTCATAATTGCTCAAGTGTCTGTCTTCTCCATGAGATGAGACCAGAGACTATGTCTTGTTCATCTCTGAAGAAAAGCAGTGGTTGGCTTCAGTGAATGTTTGATGCTTATTAAATAAATTAATTTGTTTATTGATTTAGTGATCAATAAACAGGCAGGAGAATAGCATTTGTAAAACAACTGAAAAGGTCTTGTGTCAATGTGTGAGCTTTTTATTTTGCTCTTAATAAAGTTTCAGATATTTAGAAAATATGAAATTGTTGAATCTGAGAACATTGGTCAAGACCAAACTAGGGTTTTAAAATGTAGATAGCATTATCATTCAACACCAGTTCAACTTTACCAGGACTGTCTCCTTTTCTCTACTTATAAAAGCCCTTATTCTCACTGAAGCCTTTATCTTAAAAGTCTTTTTAAATAAATGTTCCTCAATAGTAATCAGTCGTAGGAGATGGTGGTGATCCTGGTAGGACAGAAGGACATTTGGAGAGATGATTTCATTCTAAAGCTTCCCTGGGGGTCTAAAAAACCAAAAAACCAAACCCATTGCCAATGAGTCAATTCCAACTCACAGCATAGTGACCCGGGAGGACAGAGTAGAACAGCCCTATAGAGTTTCCAAGGAGCAGCTGGTGGATTTGAACTGCAGACCTTTTTGGTTAGCAGCTGAGCTCCTAACCACTGCACCACCAGTGCTCCCTGGGGGTCTAGCTCTTCTATAAAAGGCTAAAGGGGCAGGCCTGTCCTGTTTAAAGATCCTGACATTCTCCCATATAAATTTGGAGCTCCAAAAGGGGCTCTATACTTTCCTGTCCTTCTAGGAAACTCTGATAAACAGAGACTTCTCTTGGCCTAGAGTCCTCATCCCTACTTCAAAGTAAATAGATCATATTTGCTGGGCCTTGAAAAATGGGAGGAATGGAGCCTGAAGTTAACATAAATGTCATCTATGTGTTTTTGCTCTAGTACTTTAAAAGTGTTGCTGAAATGATCAAGAATCACCAACACAGTCCCCTGGTTCTCATCGACAGTCAGAATAACACAAAAGATTCCACAAGACTGAAATACGCAGTTAAAATTTCATAAAGGAAAAAAACGGAGGTCAGCATCGTTGCTTCAGGCATTTTCCGAAATTTTCAACTTTGGAGAAGAAGTCTCAAAACTTCACATTTTGGATTATAAACAATCCAGTAAGAAAATAGAAGATGGAGGCAGCTATTGAGGTGGTCATCCATTTCTTTATAAGAAACTCACATGGAATTGTTTATCTATTGCCTGACATGAAGAACTGTTAATATTTGGTGACATTGAGTTATCATGCTACTAATAGTCTCCAAATAAATCATTATTTAAAAAAAAACAGGTGTACAGTATTTTGAGTTATGTGAAAAAATACCACACCATTTCAAAATAAGAAAATAATACTCTTGGATAAAACAAAGCTGCTAAAACATTTAGGCCACCACAATGGTCATTGGTGCACTAATGTAGCTGGGATGTCTACTGTCAATGCTTGACAATTATGTCTTGGTTAAAATTTTAATGTGTAGAAAATCAAAATACTATAAGTAATATATTTGTAAGTAGCAGACAAGGAAGATGTAATAGTTCCTTTTTTGTGAACACTCCCACCATAAGGCATGTATATGGATATGAACTTTCTAGAATTTATTGCTCAGGACTGTGTTGTTAGCTTTGCTTATTAAAGATGATTATACCCTCTTTTATCTGCATGTTTTTTAAATGAACCCAGACTTGACATGAAGTTCAAAGTGGGATAAGAGAAAAATCAGTTCCTATGGAAACATACCACAGAACAAGGGCAGAAAAACAGACATTTAAGAACACTAAGGAATAAAAAGGATACCATTCTTAGCAGCCCTGTATAGAAATGTGTTACACTTTGTAATATGAAAGCTTTTCTTTTACTGTATGCTTTAGACAGCATTGAAATGATAAAGCAGCTAATTAAGAAAAATACAATAATTAAATGAGAAGTACATTTGATCACTGAATAAGATATCAATTTCTGAAAGAGTTGTAAAGGCTAGAAGGAAATGATTTCAGAGTAACTCACAGACTATTTTGTTTTGTTGTTGAAATTATACACATCTGAGCATACACCAATTCAACAATTTCTACATGTACAATTCACTGACACTGATTACATTATTCAAGTTGTGCAACCATTCTTATCCTCCTTTTCCAAATTGTTCCTCCATCATTAACATAAACTCACCATTCCCTAAGCTTCCTATCTAACCTTTTGAGTTACTCTTGTCAGTTTGATCCTGTACAGATAGTTCTTTTAAAAGAGCAGAATGCTTGAGGTAGACGTTGTTGACTAATTAAGTTAAACTAGTATTTGATTTAAAGAAGACTTCAGGAGATATTTCTGGCTTAAGGTTTAAGGTTTAAAGATCATCTCAGGGCAACAGTTTCAGGGTTTCATTTAGCTTCAGTGGCTCCAGAAAGGCTGAATTCCATGAGAATTTGAAATTCTATTCCACATTTTCCACCTTTTGTTCAGGATTCTTCTATAAATCTTTGATCAAAATATTCAGTAATGGTAGCCAGGCACCATCCAGTTCTTCTGATCTCATGGCAAAGGAGGCAGTTATTCATTAGCCACTCATTCCATATCCTCCTCCTATTCCTGACTCTCTTCCTCTGTTGCTCCAGGTGAATAGAGACCAATTGTTGTAGCTTGGGTGGCTGCTTTCAAGCTTTTAAGACCTCTGGCACTACACAACAAACTAGAAGGTAGAACAAAAGCACTAAATACGATATTAGGCCAATTAATTGAGATGTCCTATGAAACCATGACCCTAAACCTCCAAATCAAGGAACTAAATCCCCATGAGGTGTTTGGTTGTACATAAGAAGTCTCAGCAGCTGCTCTTTTGTTATTGTTGTTTATATTGTAAAAATATATATCATACAACATTTGCTAATTCAACTTTTTATATGGTGTTTTCAATCACCTCATATGCATGTGAAAGCTGCACAGTGAGTAAGGAAGACCAAAGAAGAATTGATTCCTTTGAATTATGGTGTTGGCAAAGAATGTTGAATATACCATGGATTGCCAGAAAAATGAACAAGTCTGTCTTGGAAGAAGTACCACCAGAATGCTCCTTAGAAGCAAAAATGGCAAGACTTCGTCTCACATACTTTGGACATGTTATCAGGAGGAATCAGTCCCTGGAGAAGGACATCATGCTTAGAAAAGTAGAGGGTCAGCGAAAAAGAGGAAGACCATTGACAAGATGGATTGACACAGTGGCTGTAACAATGGGCTCAAGCATAACAACGACTGTGGGGATGGCACAGGACTGGGCAGTGTTTCATTCTGTTGTATGTAGGGTCGCTATGAGTCAGAATCAACTCAATGGCACCTAACAACAACAACAACTTGTTGACATCAATTACATTAATCAGTTGTGCTACCATTACCCTTAATCAATGTGAATTTTCCATTACATAAACAGAAATTCAGTGCTCCATAAGCAATAACTCCCCCTTTTCTCCTCCCTCCCACCTCTGGTTACCACTAATAAACTTTGGTTTCTATATACTTGCCTATTCTTATCTTTTTATATAAGTGAGGTCATACAATATTTGTTGTCCTTTTGCAATTGACATTTCACTCAGCAATCCATGCTGTAGCATGTATCACAACTTCATTCCTCTTTCTGGCTGAGTAGTATTCCACTGTACACATGTACCACATTTTGTTTATCCATTCATCCATTGATGGGCATTTAGGTTGTTTCCACCTTTTGGCTATTGTGAATAGTACTGCAGTGAACATTGCTGCTTTCAAGTCCCTTGGGTATATTTCTAGCAGTGGAATTTCTGCATAAATCTATTGTTAAATGTCATGTACTTTCATGATTACTACCTATATACTTTTGACAATGAAATCAAGTATAAATAGGTTTTAGAAATTTTGTATGGGAAGATTTTTTTCCCCCCTCTTATAAAAACAGTGGAATCATTTAGAATGTGCTAAAAAGGATAGCTCACAATTTACAGGAAACTAGGTTAATGTTTTGTAAAGCAAAGCATTCATTTGTAGTGTAAAGTATTGGCTCTCCAATTTAACCCTATTTTCCTCAGGGTTATATGGAATTTTTTTCTACTTAAGTAAAGCCTCATTAATTTCCTCTGTCATCACAGTAACCTGGCTCTTTAACAACCTCTTCCGCCCCAGCCTCAGTCTCCTTCCCAAAGTGGCCCATTCCAGCTAGGTAGAGGAGCATACCCATAGTATTTTACTAATCCACCAAACCAAAAAACCAAATCCACTGCTGTCAAGTAGATTCCAACTCATGTGACCTTATAGGACAGAGTAGAACTGCCCCATAGGGTTTCCAAGGCTATAAACTTTACAGAAGCAGACTGCCATGTCTTTCTCCTGCTGAGTGGCTTGTTGGTTCGAACTACTGACCTTTCAGTTAGCAGCCAAGCACTTAACCACTGTGCCACCAGGGCTCCTTACTAATCCACAGGTGGTTGATATTCAGCACTGCTGGGGTGGATTTCCTGGAGCAGAGGCTGGCAGAAACATTTGCTGCTGAGGAAGCTGGGAGAAACAACCCAAGATGCCTCCATCTCACAAAAGAGTCAGCTGGAGGGTGGCCCTACCTGCTTCTCTAAACCCTCTTCTGTAGGTGGGATAGGCTTCGTGATAAGACCAGGAAAATCTTCAAGAGATCACAAAGGCCCTGCCGGTGGTTTTCAATGCTTGACAAACAAGTGCTTTTGTGTAGGGAGGTTTTCAGGTAAGCTGAATGGTAGAAAAGGAGACACTAGCCAAGAGGAAGTATACTGTGTGGCAACTGAAGAAGGAAACAAACCAACCTAGTTCCTGTTTTGTTTTGTTTCAAGAATGTTCTCTCTCTCCTATCAGAGGGGATTTTGCAAATAAGCTTGCAGTTCGGGTATTAAGAAGGCTGTTCAATTTATTGAAATAGATAATGGAGATAGGAAGCCCAGGTCTGTGGCCATCAGAAGCCTGAATTGTATTATAATGAGTTTGCTAGGGAAATGGTTTGGACACCCTGCACTCTGGAAGCAAAACCACTGTTACCGCATCTGTGACAGGCTTGCATTAAAGAAAGTCTAAAAGAACAGAATGCAGTGATGTGAAGCAAAGAGAGTACTACATGAGCCATGATCTTAAAGCAGGACTGAAATCCTAGCCTTTAAAATGGCCTTACGATGCCATATAACTCAGCCTCTATTACTAGGCAGGGTTGCATGGAAACCACTGAAAGACCAGCCTCCCAGCAAGGTTAGTTGCACTAAAGACCCTTGGCCCTTGGTGGCTGACCACAAGGTGAGGCAGTCCTATGACTTCAGAATTAAACAGGTATGGGTATCCTATTTATATCATTTATCAGTGTGGGACCTCTGGCGTGTTTTTTACCACTCTAAGCCTCAGTATCTACATTTGCAAAAAAATGTCTTGGAGGAAACACAGCCAAAATGCTCCTTAGAAGCAAGAATGAGACTTCATCTTGATTACTTTGGATATGTTATCAGGAGGAAACAATTCCTGGAGAAGGACAACATGCTTGGCAAAGTGGAGGGTCAGAGAAAAAGGGGAAAACTCTCCAGGAGATGGATTGACACAGTGGCTGCAATAATGGGCTCAGTCATAAACCTACTATTGTGAAGATGGTGCAGGACCTGACAACATTTCACTCTGTTATACATAAGGTCTCTATGAGTCAGAGCCTACTCGACCACACCTAACAACAACAACATCTTTCTGGTAATGATACAAGAGTTAAATAAGCTAGCATATGTTTAGTGCCTCCTCCTCTCCTCCCCTTTTGGAACTCCAGTTACATGAATGTTAGACTACTTGATGTTGTCCCACGGTGTGACAGTTATGGAGGTGTGCTGCTTAGGTCTCCCTTCAAGAAAAAAACTTGGCATTCAGCTGCAAGAAGTGCAGTTAGTGGACAGCTGTTAGTACCTTCAGAATCTACCTCAGGTTTTGAGCTAAGTCCATGCTGTTCTTGGAAAGTCCTCAGCCTGGCCATTTCTGCCCAACATGGGACTCCTCTAATGGGC